AATCCTTTTAGCTATAGCTATTCCTGAAATTGACTTCGGAGTCGTGTAATTACTATTTCTCCTCTCAAGCTATATATGCTTATCTTTCAATTTTATGATTTATCCCATACTAGATTTTAGGAGATAGATTTAATATCATGTTATAGTGGTTTTTTTTAAAGGAAACTTAAAAGCAATTAAGCTTTGTTATCAATATATGATTAAATAAAATAAAAATCCTTTTAGCTATAGCTATTCCTGAAATTGACTTCGGAGTCGTGTAATTACTATTTCTCCTCTCAAGCTATATATGCTTATCTTTCAATTTTATGATTTATCCCATACTAGATTTTAGGAGATAGATTTAATATCATGTTATAGTGGTTTTTTTTAAAGGAAACTTAAAAGCAATTAAGCTTTGTTATCAATATATGATTAAATAAAATAAATAATTAAGCTTAGAATGTTACACCTCTTTACCTCCTCCCTTTTTCTTTCTAATTTTAACCCCAAACCATATATTAGTAATCCTACAACACTGATAGATTTAGCTGTTTTAATATTAATTGACTAAAATTGTATTAGATATTTCAATTTATTCTTGAAAAGTTAGAGTTGGAAATAAAATTAGAGAATGACTGCAATTTGGAGCGTAGAATAGTAACCTCTATGATTTGGAGCAATTTTAAAAATAAACACAATGTTAGGGTTATACGTGTAAAAAAACCTTATGACCGTCGTCTGCCCCGCTTTTGTTTATGATTTGGGTGGGGTGTGAATTGACATACATCTCGAGAGATGTGCCGTGCTATTCATTCTTTACGCTACCCTTACTTTATCCTGTGGCTTGATGGTTAAAGCTATCTTTAATTAAACTTGTGTGACTCCAAAATAGTTTGGGGGCAAATCCTCTTCCTAATAGTCGTGTTTGAGTTATGAAGTTACAATATTAAATAGGGATTTTTTTTTTCATATATGTACCCTTTAAGTATTACATATTTGAAAGATTACACTCCAAACTTGGTATTTGTATATATCCCCCAGTTCTTCTATATTGATTTTTTTTCTACCCCTTCCACTGTGTGATTTTGGTTTTTAAATGAAAAAATTGTGGTAAACCTGTAACAAATTTATTGAAATTTTGACATTGCCCTTTTTAAAAATCAACATTTTTTAGTTGGAGCAGTACAAAGACTCAATATGCCATTTGTGAAGGGTACTTTGGCAAATGTCAAGATTTTAAAGGTAATTTTTTTCTTCAAAAACTGGAATATGAGGGGTATATATGCAAAAAAAACCCTATCAAAATAATATCCTCTCTTGCTGATTTTCTACCTAATTTTCTTTACAAGTTGCCTAGTTATTTGCTTACACTAGCATGAATATACTCAATGTTGTGGATATTAAAAAGGAAAGGATAAGTTGAAAAGCATCCTTTTGCTCGCGAAGAAATCTGTGGAGCCCACTTACTCTTAAAGAAGAAAAAGACTCCCAAATTAAATTGTCTTTTCTCTTTAAATAAACAAAATTTTAATCATTGGAGTTGCATTTCGAGCGGTTCGAGTTCACGCTGAATTGCTTGTGTGAGACTTTGGCAAGGGTCTAAAGAAAGTAACCTACGCCCCCCCCCCCCGCCCCCGGCGCGCCGCCGCACCGGAGACCTCGTGGGGAATTGGATTAGCGCGATATGTGCAAGTTATGAATATTATAATGCTATTATGAATCTACTTTATAGCTAAAGCAGAAGGGTTAACACTATTATGAATCTACTTTATAGCTAAAGCAGAAGGGTTAACACAAAAGGAATACTATAGTTGTAGAAGCTAGGAAAAAGTTCTTTTCTTGGTCGAAAGAAGATGGGAGGAGCTTAATTGCAATTTAAATAAACTTTAATTATATTTATATTCATATTTGTTCCTTGTCATAAAGTTTAAAAAAAAAAGTGGCGACGAGGGCATTCTCGGGAGAACGTTATGCTGATTAATATGATGGTCTCCTATTTAGTAAAAACATTAAGTAATAATAATAATAATAAACTAGGCCTACAATTTATCTTGTCTATCCTCGTGTTTGGCAACTGCTTTTTAACCGGGTTAGTGGATCCTAACATATATTGTGTTCGTAAAAAAAAAAAAGATGAGCTTGAGGGACAAGAGGACAAGTAGCTTAGAGAAATAAAGACAATTGAGTACTTTTAAAGGAAATCATTTTAAATCTAGTAAAAAATTATCATAAATTGTGTAAGTTGTGGCAGAAGATAGAAGGTGATCTAAGTTATAAGATAGGAATTATAATTGTTTATAGAGCGGGTAGGTGGAAATTCGGCAAAGATGTTGGATTTTTTCATCCTCTCAATGCGTCTCTCTAATAAGTTATTAGATGAGATATATTTTTGTATAGGATTGCCACAAAAGTTTGATTAAAAAAACACTGGTCACTAAGTGAAATGATAAAAAGTCATGGGCGCATGGGCCCAAAGCGATGCTGGTGACTGGCCTTCCTTTGAACGGACAAGGACACTAAACGGGTTGTCTTATTTATTTATTTACTAAGAAATACATGCCAAGCATATGAAAAATCAATTAATGTTTATTTTTAAATAAATAAATAACTATATTGATGGAAAAACTTTGTCAATAATAATATGCCTCTTTTAAATGTTTCTGATGATAAATCATTTTCAATATTCATTGATCTCCTACGAAAATTAAATAGAATACAAGCTTAAAAGATTATGATTAGAAAATTAACATAAAAATGAACATGAGACGTAGTTATATACAAGCAAATATTGATTTTTCTTAAATCCACAGAAAAAATTTCAGCTCTTCAAATTCTTCAAGCTGAAATAACTACTAGGTTCAATCAACTGCTTTGGCTTTTCCTTCACCTTTGTATTATCAATTGTTTTCGTCAAAAGTTGTCTTCATCATTGATTTCATTAAAACTTCAAACGTTACAAATGAATTCAAATAACGAAAATAAAAATTACAACTTTCTTGAAAATAAACACAAGATCCGTTTATCGTCTCTTGCTTGCGTGGGTCTTTAGCCTGTGACGGGGACGTTGATATCCGTGGACTACCTGGCAATCAGATCTGATCCAGAAAAATCGGGCAGAGCTTCGTCGATCCGCGAGGAGATCTAGAAACTTGGAGCGCCTATCTCGGATAAAGCGAGATATTTGCTCTTCTTAGGATCACCGACGAGGGGTAATGCTAAGGAACGGATGCGGGTGATGTAGATCTGATGAAGAACTCTCTTGTGTTGAAGTGCTCGATCACTCTTCACTCCAGCAGGGCTTCGTCAATTCTCCAAAAATCCAGATCCCCAAAAAGTGAGGCCTAAGGCTTCTATTTATAGGCGACACCCCTGGGGTGTCCTCAAAAATCTAGGACGCCCCTGGGGCGTCCCCAAAAATCTAGGACGCCCCTGGGGCGTCTCCAAAAATCTAGGACACCCCTGGGGCGTCCCCAAAAATCTAGGACACCCCTGGGGTGTCTCCAAAAATCCGAGACACTCCGCTGTAAATTCTTCGTCCGAACTCGGATTTTAGTGATTCGAATTGTGTTGGAATTCTGACGAAGAGTTCTATCAGCCCCGAGACACGAAAGGCGTTGTTCTTTTTGTAAACATCGCGGGGCTCTCGATTAGCCTGTGCCTTCGTTATTCCGAAATTCTGTCAGTTCACGTAGTTCGTCGGTTCACTTCAAACGTTCACCGACGTCAATTGAACTCCTGTGAACCAGATGGTGATGTTCATTGTCGTTCCTTAACACTGAGCTATTCGTGGAGACCTATAGGCAATTTTCGATGCCTACATCAATGAACAAAGATTGTACTAGAGACCAATTTATTCATTTTAATAACGCTAATTACACAAAATCAAAATCCCAGCTTGAAATAAAGGAGAAGACAAGGAATCAAAAACTTAAAAAGAAGGAAAGAAACAACATACTGACACTTAATATGCCTCAAATATCCTACTGAGATTGAGAGCCATGATCTTTGCTAAGTACCTGCCAATCTCTGATACACACATTCATCAATAAATCATTTGCAAGTTGCAATCTACATGATAACATTGGCCCTACTAAAACTCTGAGCTTTTGAGAAGCAAAAGGGTTCGTGGTCTGTTCATGGAGACAAGGAGCCAGGGTCAGGAGTTCATGGTTGATGGCTTCTTGCATATTGCCCATGCAAAATAAAGAAACAATTCTAAGACCCGGAAAGCATAGTACACGATATCATCCATGTAGTTTTTAGGTATATAAATAATAGAATCCACCGTATACGAGTATAGAAAAATATGGGTATATTATGAAACATTGACGTCCGATAAAATATGTCGAATTGCAACTAGTAATTCTACCATCCAAGTATAAAGAACTTGATACTTCATAAAGATGTCTCTATTTGATTTTCACCCCTTACACCATTCTCATCTCTTCTTCAGGAAGAGAGATTATGTAAGTTGTGGCAGAAGATAGAAGGTGATCTAAGTTATAAGTGGATGGGTTGTTATGTCTCATTTGGGTCAATTTGAGTACATGGATGGGTTGCCAAACAACAATAATCCTGATAGGAAACGATACCTAACAAAGCAAAATAAGCAAAATGATGATGCAAAGTTGAAGTGACATGGAAGATAGTTGCATAGAACACCAAACATCATTGTCATCTACAAATGAGCTACAGCAAACATGCCTTGAGAAGTAGAGAATTTAGAGGAAATGTGTAACTTAATATGTTGCTGACTCCAATACGAAGTCAAAGACGAAAACAAACATGTCCTAAACTAATACAATCCTTTTAAACAACCAGTAAATCAGGAAGAATCTCACAACATCGTTAAACTGAAAGATTTAAGTTGCTGAACTCAAATATCTAGCACCTTGATCAATGATAATTGCAAAGGACTAGTTGGCTCGCTAAGCTACCTAAGTCTTACCTTTTATAAGAGAATATAGGACCAATACTACAGCCTAAAATGAACAAAAGGCACAAAAGGTAAGCAAACATAATGAAGATTTCCCGCTAGAAGAATTTAGAGAATGGGAGCAAGAAGATAAAGGTACTCGAAGATATAAGAGGAGGAAAATATGAAGGGGTAAAGAAAGACAATAAAGCAGAACAAGCTATGATTCCCAGGCAAAATAAAATGTTAAGGAGTAAAAAAGATGAGAGAAAACAAAAGACAGAAAAGAGAACACGAGAGGCAGACCCTGAAAGTGATTATATGACTCAATTATCACCTCTCTTGATTCAAAAGAAATAAATTTCTCGTTGGAGTTAGAAACAAAAGAAATGAGGGCAGTTTTTATGATCGGTCGTTCTTCAGACTCCATTTATTTGACAGTGAAACTAGTTCTCCAGGAAACCTAAGGGCTCAAAGGCATGTTTACCTCAACTAAAAGAACCTGGATGTTGAAAGTCATGAAAGAGGCATCTCTGTCAATTTTTCAAATTTGATTAAAGTTGTACGTACTCCAGATGAGAGATTATGTTACATTCTGGGTCATATAAATAACTCTAACCTATGACTATAGTTCTAGCTGGTCGGGGGGGGGGGGGGGGATCCGAATTCAAGCATAGGCGTGTTAAATAATGCGATCCAGAGCAAGAATCTCCTCATACCTAGATGTAGACAAAAAACAAAGCACGTTTGAACCCAAATCTTAAACTCCAAAAATGGTCATGACTAATTTGATCTAAATAATTAGAAAAACAAAATGAATCAACAAGACTAAATTAATTAATTGGAATTGAATCAACATTTCAATCAAATGAGAGGAGCAAAATTGATATAACATATAATTCTCAATGTCATGTTACATACTTGTTAAGAGTCTTTTACATAAAATAAGTAAGTTTTGCTCATTGGTTAAAAAAAGTGACACTACATTCTGAATATCACATGATACAAGAAAAACTTAAGAGAAAAATGATTATATACAACATGAAAGTTTAGAAGCTCATACTTTGCCTCATTTGTTGAGTCTTCAGATTATTAGTTTGATAGTTCTTCATTTGTATTCATCTCATTTGATGCCTTACTGGATCCTCCAAGGTCCTCATCTATAATCTTTTCAATATCTTCAGTTTGTAGTTTACTTAGTCCCAGCCTTAGTGGTCTCCCCATAAATCCCTGCAGTATAAAAAAAATTATTCTAGTCAGATTAGTATCAAGGATAACCATAATGTCAATAATGATGGGTACAAAAGATTCACAAAAATGATCCCATTTTCACCTTGCCATTAAGATCAGATATTGCATTATTTGCTTCATCAATAGAAGCAAAGGAGACAAATCCATAACCTGCAGGTCTTCTAGGTTTGCTCTGATAAATGACTTCAGCAGAGATAACTTTGCCACCGGTATCAAAGAGCTCCCGAAGATCTTGAGAGCTTACCCTATAAGCCAAGTTTCCTACATAAACAGTATACTTTTTTGTTGGAGCTTCTACTTCAGCACGAGGATTTTTCTTTGGTCTAGCATATTCAATCTTTATGTTTCGACCATCCATATCCTATATCACCAAATGTTAACCGATAATCAAATTAACATAATTTTACTATAATGTAAACAAACAGCAGTTCAAGACCTTGAACACTCACGTAGGAATTGAGGTTAGTGAGGGCCACATTTGCCTCTTCTTCTGATGCCATAGTGATGAATGCTAAACCTCTGTTTCTAGTTTTGTTATACATAGAGAGCTGAAAAGAGAGGATAAGATAAACAGAAAATAATAATTAGAGCACAAAGAACAAGAAATTTTAGTGGCCCATCAATGGAATCAATCAAATATATCCATTACTCATAAAAGCCAAGAACCCTCTTATTTAAATAATATGCCCAACTAAAATATCATCATCAGTGGCCTTCAAGCCTTTTCCATTCAAAAGGGATGAGCAATTTATTAAAATGTGACCAAATAGCTAGCCACAAAAAACTGAAATTTTTTCAAATAACCAGAAAATTTGGAGTCATAATCTAAAATCACGCAAGTGCATGCTGTGCATCTCATATCTCCAACTGATGTTTTCTTTTCGAATGACAAAATCATTTATGGATTTGTCTCCATTATCAGAAAATCTAACAAACTCTATTTAAAGAAAACATCAGTTGGGGCTTTAAGTTCTTCAACTTCCCCCAAACAATTACTTTTCTGATATAAATTTATTGGTAGAGTTGGCAATATAACTTTCTTATTTTTTTGTTTTTGTTTTAGTATTTATATAGGTGTAAATCTTCACAAAATTTTCTTACAACTTTTTCACCATACCTGAATTTTTGATATCATATGAATAAATAAACATAAATAGTGTTCTACCCCCTTCCTAAAATATATTGCTGGGGATAAGTTGGGACTTTGCATTAGTATACTCCTCCAGCGGTAGGTCATATTCGCATTTGAGCTGCACAAGGCCTTATCCCTAAAAGGGATCACGGCACATCTCTTTGTATCATGTAATTTTTCCTATTTTGAACAACAATTATGGCGCAAAAAGATAAAAAAGAAAACTCAAACACTAAACCCCAGGAATTTCACCATCCTCATCACTACAACTCTGCATTACTGTTCAACACTCAGCGACCTGCACAAAATAGAACCCAGAGACCCAAATTCACCGAAATCCATCGATCAGTTTCACGTGTGTTTCTGCATTCTTAATATAAGCAATCGATCATCAATTCCCCCCAGATTCAAACAACCAATCCACGGCACATATATGGAAAACACAGCAAAACCCAGTATCCCAAATTGACCAAAATCCAAAAGCGAAGGAGGGAAAGTAAAAAAAGAAAAAGAAAGCACCTCAACATCGAGCACATCCCCATGCTTCCCAAAGAGGGCTCTGATATCTTCAGCCGTACAAGTCCATGGTATGTTCTGCGCGATCAACCTCTTCCTGTCATAAATCTCAACCGCTGGTCCCCTCACTCCTCCTCCTCCTTCAGTTGTTTGAGCTGATATCGAGCTGCTCGTTCGAGGGACGAAAGAATTGAACCGAGGATTCAAACGAGTGCAGCATTTTAAACACGTAGGAGGTGAGATTAACAGGGGGGGAGAGAGTTCAGATGAGGGATTGGGTTTTGAGAAGCGGAGAGAAGAGAGAGGATGGGGAATTGATGGGAGATTGAGAAACTGAAGCGCCATTGTTTTTTTTTTCCCTTTTTTTTTTCGGAAGAGTACGCTTTCCTGAAAAAAAAATGCAAGCGTTCAGGGTTTATCTCGAGGATATGCAGTCGGATCCATTTGGGATCCGTTTATCTTGATCCAGTTTGGGTATCAGAATCCAATAATTTTCAATATTATATTAAGTAATAGTCTTAAATATATTGTCAATATTATGATAATTATAATATTATATAATATATTATTTAATAATATTTTTAATTAATAATATTTAACATATTAATAGTATATTATGATTATTATAAATATTATATTTTAATAAGGAGTCATGTCACCAATTATTCTATTTAAATTATAGTAATTATCATAAAAATAAATAAAATATTATATTTTTAATAATAATTTAATATTTTAAATAATATTATATTGAATTAAATAAAGTATTATAACTTTTGATTAAATATTATATTATTGAAAATATATTATATTAAATATATTGTTTGTATACTATATCAATTATTATATAATATATCATATTATTATAATATATTATATTAAATTAATTAATAACATTAATATAGTTATAATTAATTAGTAATTATAATATAATATTATAGTTTAGTATAAAGTAAATTAATGTATTACATTATAATAACATACCAAATAATATGCTAAACCAATTAGGTAAATTAATTTAGACTTAATTGATTAATAAATATTGTATTTTAATAAGGTGTCACATCATCAATTATCCCGCATGAATTATCAAATCAAATCTTCAAATTGTCTCATTATCCTAAATTGACTCACTTTACACCACTCAAAATATGATGGTGATACAGGAACCCAAAAATATGAGACCCTACATGGGACAAGTGAGGTGTCGGCTCCCTATATGATGCACCTCACCTAAAAATAATGTATTACATGAGACTCAAATTGTCTCATGAATAGTGCATCATAGGACGGGGAGCCGACACATCACCTGTCCTAGGGCCCCATGTTTTTGGGTCACTAAGGCATTTTTCCTCAAAATATCCCAAAGAGATAAAATCAATCCATTAGAACAATTATCTCACTTAGTCCCAACTTGTCTCAACAAATAACCCCCCCTTTGGGGTCGGTGTGTACCACCCAAACCCAATGGTTCTCGAAAGAATCGAAGTCGGATCTTTTGCAAAATACTAAAAGGATGTTTCACTCACTATTGTATTATGTTGAGGCACTTTGGTTTAAGAATAGAACCAGAGTTGTTATTAGGGGTGCACAAAAATATATGTATCCAATATTTATATCCATATTTGTTAGGATGGCAATATGGTTACAAAAATATGTATCTGATAGAATATAGTTATAGATACAGAAATGTGGTGAAATATTTGAATCTGTATTCAAAATACCAAAATATATATAGGTCGTACGATTGTGAGTCGTACTAGTTTTAATGCTTAAATTAATGGGGTTGAGGTTAATTTTGAGGATCAAGAGATCTAATCTTAGCTTTTTCAAATATAACAAACATATAATGAACCCTATCGTATCATATGACCTATATTTTTTTCAATATTATTTAGTTTTCTCATATCTGTTTTGTATCTACGTGTATATTAACTTATATATTCATATGTATACCTGAATCCGTATCTGATTTTAGCGAATATGAATATGAATTTTGCTTATCGAGACACATATTCATTAGTGTTTGTATTCGTGATCGGTAAGTAAATACATATATGATAAGAATCAAATTTGAGTCATATCTGAACCTTTTGCACCCCTAGTTATTATCCGTCATGCGCCAACTTTAGTTTACAATGTTGCGCGCACACTATGATAAATTGTGATTTAACAAAACATACATAAACAGTCATCAAAACCAATCGGAAAAATATTTATCCGTTATTGTTTTCAAGATAAACCATCCCAATAATAAATGAATAATGAATATAAATAATAGCATAAACCTATAAATATAGTTGTTTTCAAGGGAGGTATGTTAGAAATGAATGACATATGTCGCACTCTCACAATTAATTAAAGTATTTTGGGATAATAGTCTCGATATATAGAGAGGAGTGAAAGAAACTATGATATGTTTGCTTCCATGTTAATTTTTTATTCAAAATATTTTTAAAGTTTGATCATAATTTTAGAATATTAATGTATTGCACTTCATATACGAATGACTTGGATAAAGGTTCATTTTTTTTTGAGAAAAAGGATGAATTACTATTAATCATAACAGTAATTCAGCCAGCTAAATTAATAATAAAACTTGGTTGTTACAAACAGATACACACCCCCAACCAAGAGTGTGTACTCTAGTTCAAACAAAAATTACAAATCAAAAGAGCTCCTGCTCCACAACATAGGATTATCCTTTCCCAAAGCAAAGAAGAAGCTATCAACTACTCCCAAAACAAAATAGCAGATCACTGTATCTTTAACCAGAGTTTTAAAACTCAAGAACCAAAAAAACTTCAAGAATCTGGAGTTAAGAATCATTCAAGTTGAATCACTGTACTCGCAATTCCTCCAGCATCGACATGTCCTTCAGCAGCTCTTTTCCTTCTCCTCTCTTGAAGCCTAGCAGCTCGCGCAGTTATAGGTTTAGAACCTAACCAAAATGATGAAAATGTCAAAATTTTGCTCAAAATCTCCAGGGATCTCTTCCTTTTGTTAGAAAAGATTCTATCGTTACGTTCCTACCAAATACACCATATAAGAGAACAGATAGTAACATGTCTTTCGATAAAGGTTCATTTTGACAGACTAAACAGTCTAAACTTCGATTATATGATTACAATTAATATGGACGATGGTAACTTATTTTCGGAACTATATATTAAGAAATATGTACATCGTATTCCTTAAAAGTTTTTATTACAAGTTTGAACTTGAGTCAGACTCCTTTTTCCCCTTTCTCTTTCTCTTGCGTTTCTTCCTCAATTTTCTCTTCTTCATCAATAATAGGCTCCACACGTGCGTCTACCTTTTCTGTTATTTCGTCAACCTGTATCATTAATGAGACTTCAGCTCAGAACAAATGTGTCCTTAGTTTACCACAATTTATCATAAATATAATAAAGGGAAAATGAACCCAATTTCTCTCATTGAAATTTAAAAACCTTTGAAATACCTAATTGTTTTCTTTTCCTTTCAAATTCTTATTCTCCGCACTCTTATTGACATTAGAAAGATCACCTTTATAATCATAATGCTCATTTGTATGAAGACGGTTACGATTCATTTCTAATATAATTATCATTATGTCCTTCTTATTCAACATGAATTATGACTTTCTGCTATATTATAATAATTTTTATTAGGAACATGGACTTCCCATTGAAATCAATGAACATAATCTAATCTCAGCATAGATTGACCTTTTTTTTTATTTTTGCTACAGTGATTTTTAAATGCTACAGTTTTTTATAAGTAACATAATATTTTTTTTAAAAATGCTACAGCTTTTTTCTACAGTAATATTGCTACAATAGTTCACTGTAACATTTACTGTATCACAAATAGTGAATCTTCAGGTCCTCCTATGAGTATAGAGGAGAAGATATACTCTATAAAATTCAATTACATATATGCTTCATTTGGAAGATATAAAAGGAGTTACGACTTTGACCAAAGAAACGCTACTTGCTTGTACGTAACCACCGACCAAAAAGTCTACATCCAATATTAAACGCAATCTATAGATTAAAAACATATCCAATATCAACCTATGGAAATATGAGAGATGAGTATAGTTCATGGTCAGCTTGTCACGTCAAATATCATACACTACCACTTGCAACGTATTTTAAGCTAAAAAAAGGATTAATAGTAATCAAACCTTGTGTATGATTTTTTCCGCTTGCTCTGCATCCTTCTCTACTTTTTCTACGAAACGTTCGATATCCGAAACCTCTTTCTTTAGACGGCTACCATCCGGCAGCGCTTCCGAAATATCGGCCGCGACCTTCTCGGCCACTCCGGCCACCTCCTTCACCGTGTCAACCACTTTTTCCGCGACTTTCCCCACTCCGTCTAATTAACAAAGAATATTAGTACGTACGAAGATGGAAAAATTATGGGCAAAATTTCACAAGACCCCCAAAAAAGTTTTACGTGTCCATTGTGGGATAACAATTTT